TTGTTGAGGGGGCACCAACAGAAAATTATTTTTAAAAAATTAAAAAAAATTAATATAAATAAATCATTGAACCTCAAAAAGGGCACTTTGGGCACATGGGGCAAAAGGGGCAGGGTCTCAAGCACCCCCCTCCCACCCCCCCCCACCCCCCTCTGCACGTGTCTGGGCTCACCATAGGTTAAGACCTTGAGCACATGTAGGTGGGTTTCCCAAACCAAGATATTTTTTCTACAATTTGACTTATCACCCACACAAAAGTGAAGATAAACTTTGGCACCAACAACATTTCTTTCAAAATCTTAGACCAAAGTGGAGATTTGAGTTTTTTGTTGTTGTTTGTGTTTTGTTGCCTGGATGACATCTTCACCACTTGCTTAAAACACCCCACACACATCCTAAAGGACTCAATCCACCCTGCTAACCATCTCTTCAAACTTCTTCCATCTGGCAAACAATACAGGGCAATAAAACACACACCCCCAGGCTGGGGGAATTTAACTCTCACATGGGCAACGACAGTGAGTCCTGGGGAGGTGTGGTTGGGAGGAACGGCCCCCTGATCTGAATTAGAGCAGTGTTTTGATATTGGACTTCTGTGCTCGTTCTGGATTGTCCGTAAAGCATAGTCAGTGAGCAACAGACATTTAAAATAAAAAATAAATATAAAAATGCATAAACCTGCGACAAAATATGTCACAATGTAAATTAATTAACTCGGTAACATGATAATAAGGTGTTAGCCTTGACAGTCCTAATAAAAAAACACTAACTCATTTAGGATGAGACACGATAACACTTTAGTTTAGGGAACACAAATTAACCATTAATTAGCTGCCAATTAATATGCAGATTAGTGGACTAATAAGTCTGAACTAGTCATTATTAAGCACTTACTGACAGCTTATTACTAATGACGTATTTCTAACATGAACAAGCCATAAATTAATAGTTTTATCAAAATAAGCCATTAATAATGGTTTCTTAACTGAAAGTAAAAAGTTTGTTGCTGATTAATGCAATTACTAATTAGCTCAAATCAATATTTGACTTTTAAAGAAGTCATTCAAGGGGAACATAGTCTTGCCTTTAAGGGGTTAATTAATACTAAACTACTAGTAATTAGGTATGAACAAAATCTGACTTTAGAATGGAAAACATATTCTTGCTTACAAGTGGTTAATTGATTATTGTTTAGGCTCTTTTAACATGTGGATTTTGGTGTTTATTTACATATTATCAGAACATAATGTTTTTGGTTATTAATGCAGAATAATTATTCCCATTGAATTACTTCTTTAAAAGCCACATATTGATTTGAACTAGTTAGTATGTGCGTTAATCAGCAACAAACCATTTACTTTCAGTTATGGAAATTTTAAGTTATTAATTCTTGATCATTGACTCAATCAACTGAATGTAATATGTATTGCTCTCTGCCTCTTTGCATGCCCACTTACTCAGACACACCCACACGAGCCACACACACACACACACACACACACACACACACACACACACACACATTCTTGACTTCCCACATGCACACACACTCACTTTCATTCCTTTCTTATCTCTTGGTATAAATAAACTCTGTGACCACATGTTCGGGGTATTTTGCCTCGTGCATTATGCCACAGTTATAACTGTTTGACTTGTCTGTTCATTGTCTCCTTCTCTCTCTACTATAGGAAATGGGGTTATTGATAAACACATTGATAAAATTCATGACATTATTTGGTCCTTCAGAAGATGGGGTCCCATCGCCTCGCGGCGTCAGGAGCTGACGCTGGAAAACTGTCGACAACCTATATCTCCTCTGGCGCTATGCTTTCGCTGGGGTTTGGTGTGAGGATCTTCACATCGCTGGGGGGGGGGGGGGGGGGGGGGGGGGGCTGCGGATCCACGAACTACTCAAGACCTGAGTGGAGAGATTTGGTGAGACAAGTTTGTTGTTGTTTTGTGGTACCGAGAGAAAATCCTAAGTGACCAGAGGTCAAAGAGAGAAAATCCTAAGTGACCAGAGGCCAAATTTTGGCGTCGTCCACCTTGAATAGAACGGTTTTGACGAGTCCTTTTGAATGCTGTCTGTATTGGCTTGGTTTTCTGCATTTTAGCCGAAATTAGAAATGCAGCTCTGGTGTGAGAAATAAGTAGGCCGGTGTGGTAACCAGTGGCGGCTGGCCAGTAGAGGGCGATAGGGTGCCGCCCTCCCAGTTTTCCCCAGTGTTTTTAATTTTATTTAAAAAAATAAATAAATTTAAATTAACAATAATCACATATTCTAAGTTAATTGTGTGTTTTGTAACAAAAACAAATCATATATATATATATATATATATATATATATATATATATATATATATATCTATGTTGGTCAGAAGCTCTCTGCCAAGCTGTGGAGGCGACAGAAAGGCTGTGGGCTGTGTTTCAATCGCCCAAACAGAACGGGACCAGTCGGCCAATTGCTGACAAGAAAATCAAACGGTAGGAATGGGAATGTATCCAATCAGCGTCAACGTTGTTTCAGAAGCATGATGGGCGATAGAGCTACCGCCAAAGGTTTTCGTTGGTGATTTGTTGAACTCGGAGAGTCTCGACTAAAGGTGAAGAAACACAAGTCATCCCGGGCACACATGCACAACATGGTGAAGCTAGCCATGCTAGGCAGAGCTAACATTGCCATGCAGCTCAACAAGGGAAACGGAGGACGTTTGGCCAGGGAGAACAACAGCAGCTGGGTGCAGAGGTAAGCTGTACATTACATTTCTGTGAACAAGACAATCAGAATCAGAAATCCTTGGTTGTCCCACAAACCGGGACATTTGTTTAATAACATGTACATTGTTTAATGTGCAATAACTGTAAAAACTCATTTCAACACACATACCTATTATACATATTTAATCATGTAAATGTGTATTTCATGTAAATTTGTACATACATCAATCTGATTCCATTTTACTTGTTACACTTCTGCTGCAGCAAACAAATTTCCCAGGTTTTGGGACAATAAAACATTTCTGATTCTCAATTAGATGTTTTTACTTCAAATGTAAAAACATCTAATTGAGAATCAGAAATGTTTTATTGTCCCAAAAACTGGGAAATATGACATTTGTAAGAGGGTACTGATGACATTATTTCCTATGAAAGTGTTTCCTATGTACTTATCTGTTGTTTTTTATTTATTTACTTTAAAGGGGATTAAGACTTTCCTGAGGAACACCATGGCACAGGATGGGCTGAATGGTCTTGCCATGCTCTCCATGGAAAAAAAGCTTGTCATAAACATTCCTGACTTCAATAAAAAGGTCATCGAGAGCTTTGCCACTCAGAAGGACAGAAGGCCAAAATTTCTGTACAAACGAGGTATCACACACACACACACACACACACACACACACACACACACACACACACACACACACACACACACACACACACACACACACACACACACACACACACACACACACAAATGCATCCACTTGATCTTTGTATAAAGTTGACCTTAGCACAACACTCCAGAAATATTTAACAGTGTAAATTTCTGGCATTTTGTCTAAGTAGTGTTTACTACCATTACTGTAACAGTGACCTGCTCATAATTTTTCGTGTTCACTCAAATGTTGAAATTAAACAAAATGTTTTTGTTACTTGCCTCTTGCATTGCCTATTTACCATTTATGGCCATGTTATTTTATGTGCAATTTAAGGCAGTATTTTTGAACCTTGGTCCGCAAGGCAGCGTGCCAATAGTCAGACACACCTGGATTAATCAGTTTGTCCAATGATGTAAGACAGGAAATAAAAGAGCTGTGCTTAATTCAGGAAATAGTGAAGTTGTGCACAAAGCTCAGAAAGCACAAGTTTGTTTAAAAATAAAAAATAGCACAGCCCCACCAAAAATATTTTTCACCAGCCGCCACTGGTGGTAACTATTGAGATTCAAATTATGGTGACGTCCGCCTTGAATAGGATGGTTTTGACAGGTTCCCTGAATGCTGTAAAGTAGTGATGGTTAAAGATTCTCTGATTGCTGTCTGTATTTGCTTGGTTTTTGAGCGTTTTGCCGGAGGATTAGAAACATGCTCTAGTTATCTGTGTTGTTGTTTGTTTTTTAATGTTGTCTGCTTTAACTGTTGTTTTGATGAATGAGAGAGTGTATGGATTTGCTTTGTGCATGTGGTATCTTATTATGGGGAATAAGAACTCACAAATACCTTTTTGAATGAAGAAGGTACATTGATGGAAATGTAAATCCAACAAATGGGGAAATGATTTGAATCTTATCAGAGGATTGATAAAAACATGTTTCGCTGGTATTTTGGTAACCGCTGACATGTTGCACCTGCAGTGTAACCTTAAAGTGAGATAGTAAAAGAGAGAGAAATGAGGAAATTACAAATGAACTATCAGGATTATGGTTACGAGGATGCACAGAGCGGTGGAGAGAAAGAAAAAGGTTGAAAATGTGAAACAGAGAGGAGGAAAAGCCTGCCTAAATAATCAAAACAACCGTAGCTGTGCTCTGAGGCTGAGCCACCAAGGTCAATTGCGACCTTTGAGCCCCTCCATGTGGACTTCAGTAAGTCCAGTCAACATATTTCATGTTCAGAATGCACGCTGTCCACTGAGGTGAACATGTAATAAATTATTTGTAAATTATTAAATGTTACAAACAATATTTGTTGAAATTTGTTTCACTCACATCCAAAGATGAATGAAAATAATTGTGCAAAATCATGGTTGAAGATTTCATAATTCATACATCAGAGGGTTAAGCACTAACCAAACATTTAATTTCTGGTATTCTGGTGTCTAATAAAATTAAACTATTGCATTTTATCTCCTTATTTTTGTTTTTAAATCTTTGTTTCTGACGTTTAAAACCAAGACAAGGGAGTTCAGCGGATGACAATCACACCCGGTGTCACGGTCTGCCCCTGCCTCCCTGTGTCACGGTTGGAGGTGAGTGAAAACACCTGACCCTCATTCTGTTTGAGTGCAGATGGGCGGAACCGGAGAGCAACGAGCCATCTGCTACTCATCAGCAGGCTTCTTAAGGAGCAGGGAGACGCACCTCAGCGCTGGATGATTACTCAATCTTGGTAGAGCTACCTGAGTGTCACGAGCCTTTTTATCTTTGACTATTGTCTCCCGAGCTTCGTTCCGAGTAACCTCACCCTGCTTCTCCCTCTCCTTCAGGTCAATCCTCCACTTTCAGAACCTGCCATAAGACACGGATCCACGCCTGTCTCTCGCTCCAGCCTCTTCTGACCAGCCAGCTCTCTGCCGCCTCCGCACCCTCCCCCCTCTCAGGACTCTGAGGATTCGCCCTGTCTCGCGCTCCTCCTGCCTCTCACCAGCCAACCGGACCCTCCTCTCTCTCTCTTCTCTCCTCCCTACCCAGAACGCTGGGCCCCAGGATTTTTGGACTATAAAGAACTGAGCTAAGCTCCAAATCGTCACCTACCTTTAACGGTGCTCCTTTAGTTAAGATAATAAATATTTGTTTTTTCTAACCCATCCTCTTGACTCTGAAGTTGATTCTGTATGTCTTGGGTCAGACGGCTAACCCCAAACATGACACCCTGACTGTGTCTCTCTCCTGCCCTTGATTAGTCCTTATTGTTTTCACCTGCCCCTTGTTTACCTGCCCATGTGTTCCTCATTTGCCCTGTGTATTTATACCTCCCTCCTTGTATCAGTCTTTGTCAGATCATTGTGGTTGTTTGTCATCGTTGTCTTGTGCTGTTCGTTCCTGTTTCCACCATTAAAACCAGTTTACTTTATCTGAAGCCTGCATCTTTACCTCCTGATCTGCTCCACCACACATGGTCCATCAACTCCTACACCTGCAACATGACACCCGGGTGAACATAAACTGGTGGGCAGAACCTGTTGAATTCAAAATCTGCATTTTGAACACTCTAAAAATATTGTCATCAATTGACTCTTTCTGGCATCTGTCAAATATAGGAACCTGCTCAGATCTCCGATTAGTGGGCCTTGTGATCAGAACAAGAGGGAATCTGTCTGGTAGTAAAATTGAAATGAGACAGCAGATTAAAGCTGTTGTAGGCAATTTGCATTTAATAAGTTTTAATTCTTCATGTATTATCAGCTTGGGAACTTTTAAATGCTTGACACAAAATTTTACTCTCCTCTGTGTCTGGGTTAAACAGCAAGGTCGTATCAGAAAGTAAACACACATTCTAACAGACCCTGGGCACAAGTGAGACAATATTCTATCAGCCTATCAGCCATGTGATTCTTAAGCAGAAATCAGAAAAGCTTCTAATATAATTCCTAAAACATAAAAATACCAAGAAGAAAGAGTAACTCCGAGTTGTTGATTTAACTTCAAATTTGATTATGGATAAGTTAATGTTTTGATTTAAATATGGGTTTTGCACACTTTTAAATTTAGAATGAAGTAGCTGGACAGTTTATTACAATTCATCTGTTCTCTTTGGGATGTAAACATCGGCCCATGTTTCCTAAATCGGTAGAGATTACGTAAATGTTGACACAGCTGCTTGGCCTTGCTCCCTTTAGAATTAGGAGAACTCAATTTAGGATTGCTTACTTTAGAATCTGGAGAAATAAACCTATGTAGTTTCTGGCTGAAACACTTAATATTGGTAAAATTTAAACCAATTAACAAACAGATTTATTGCTGAACACATCAAATGTTAATTTTGTACATGACCACGTATTTCATTCATTGTAGGGTAGGCTTACTGTATATATTGGCTTGATATTGCCTATATTTCATAACTTGGATTTCATAAAACATGATAAAGTTTAAAAATATTTGTTACACACCTAAATTTATTTTATAAATAGGATTTAGATGATGAATGTACATTTGGCTTTACTGAGTGAGAATGCTGAACTTCACTGTTTCCTTATCTGAACCCAAACAGAAGGAGACAGCTGCAGTCTGCTAGTTGCGCTGACCTATCCACACACACAGAGTGTGCCCTGACACTTCTCCGAGTAAGATGATTAGCTGATTCCTCTTGAATACCTGCTAACTATCTGACACTGAGAGTAAACATAATAACATTAAGCAGAGTGTGACCCCTGATAGAAGGTTAAATGAACAGAATTGAGATGTCAAATTCAGGAGTGATGATGAATGTTTTGTTTTGAACCTAAACTAAACAAACTTTCTAAAGTACTGATTGTGCCATTTTAAATTATCATCTATTAATGACCTGGTTGGCTCTCTCGAGCAGATTCTTAAATACTATCGTTAATATCATTTGAGATTACTCAATATCTTCAAAAACACTATCTATTGTAGATAGATGGATTTCTAAGTTACCATGTTTTTTTTTCCTTTTCCATGATGTTGTTATCATATGACATTAGACATCTTTAAGGCCAAGACTATTACTCGAACCATGGGTTAAGTCCATTTATAACCTTGAAACTTTCCTGACAAATGAGTCTTCTAAACAAATCTCCCTGTTCATGACTGAAGTTACCTAAACCTTGATTTAGTGTCCATGACTTCAGTAGCATTGATTTATGATCAGTTACTTCTACATGAGGATGCTAAATTAACTGCATAGTTGAAGAATCTAGTTCTTTACTAGTTATGAAGAGCATAGAAGTTATGTAGATACCTCTACCTTGTGTTAGCCAATCCATCTCAATTCTAATTTAACTGTTTACGTAATTAAAGCTGGGCAGACACTGTGCAACTTTTTCACTCGTAGCACCCAGCTTCAGCTCAAACTGTACGACTTCCTCGCAGGGCAGATCTCACGAGTCATGTGCTCACACTGTACGACCCAGTTCCCGGATGCGACCTGACTGCTCACACTGTACGTCTGGTAGCAACACGTCGGACCTAAAAATATGCTAAAAATAGCAGTTTTTACACAACACGTCAGACTTTTTTGTCTTGTTTTGCCTGTTGTCCTTCGGGAGTGTTGCAGGAGGACACAGTGATTTATGGGGTTGGATGAGGAAAACGAAATAAAGAAAGTAAAACTGTGTTTTGTGATCAGTTTAATTTGACATGAACACGACAAACACGCTTTCTTGACAATCCTTGTCACTGTGTGTAAAAAAAATGTTTAGAAATAAAAACGAACAACGTGTGTTATTAGGGAAATAGCGGGTGAGCGGTGTTGATGCATGATTGCGCATGCACCGTGAGTGGTTCTGGTACTACTTTTTGGGTTGCAGCCGCTCGCTGCGCCGCCTCAACCCTCACGAGGAATGAGCAAAATAATGTAATGAAATTCGAGTCGACTTCGACTAGTCGTTGATGACGTCATACGCCTGAAGCGGCACGGGGGGTGGGGGTGGGGGGTGGGAGGGGGGGTTGTCGGTAGGTTCGCTGGAGTTTTTGACAATTAAAATTGCGCCCACATTTTCTAAGTTAACACATCTCTTTTAACTCTTATAAATTATGAATTACTCCTTTTGTTTAGAACGTCTTTTCCCTTCCTTAAATGATTATCCTCTTTTCAAACACCTTTAGAGTTGTGTGTATCTAAGAACATCATCAGTTGTTTTATTTTATAGTGGGGCGACGGTGGGTTGGGCGATGGTGGCACAGGAGTTAAGTGCTCGCCCCATAATCGGAAGGTTGCAGGTTTGAGCCCCGCTCAGTGTGTCGCTGTCGTTGTGTCCTTGGGCAAGACACTTAACCCATGTTGCCTGCTGGTGGTGGTCGGAGGGACCGGTGGCGCCGGTGCTCTGCAGCCTCGTCTCTGTTAGTGCACCCCAGGGCAACTGCGGCTACATTGTAGCTCATCCCCACCAGTGTGTGAATGGGTGAATGACTGATTGTGTTGTAATGCGCCTTGAGGGGTTCCAGGACTCTAAAAGGCGCTTTATCAAATACAGGCCAGTTATCATTTACCATATTTTTGATTGTTCACTGTCTCTATGTGACAAATGAGTTTTATTTTCCTTAGATAAATCTGTTGTCCAATTTCACTTACGGAGCTTTACTTTAGCAGTATTTATCTCCTGTTGACAAATGTTACGAATTATTTGGGTGACATTGTACATTGTTGATGTACTCTGAAGCAACCTTACCTTACTGAATCTATGTGGAGTTGAAATATTATTTTTATAACTAGGACTGGTTTCATTGTTAGTTAGCTCCAGTGTTAAGACAATCTTCTGCAACAGCTCTTTTACCACAATTTCTCCTGTTACTTCTAGGTGATGTAAATTACTTTTTGTGTTTATTTTCTATTTTCTTTACACTGACTATGTATTTTTGTGTGTTAGTTGTTTAGTTTGTTTTGGTTTGTTTTGTTGTTTTATGCACACTGTGCTGCACGACTCTGCCCCTTGCTGATGTGTGCTAGTGATTGCAAGTTCCTTTGGATGGGTGTTTTTCACATATTATGTGAGGTCCGACTCTGACATCGGGTTGGCGCAATGCTTGCCGGTATCGGACCCTTTTCTTTATGTTTTGTTTCTGGTGAGCCATGAGTGTCTCATGCCTCAAGAAGAGAGATGGCTGATAACGATTTCCTCACACTATTACGCTGCCTGGATGGAATTACTTTAAATATTGGATGATAAAGATTTTTGCTGTAAACAATTCAAAATCAACAGTGACCTCCCAGAATTTTCTTGTGCTTTTTCGCCACAGGTCGTGAAACCAGGAAATTGGGTTTTGATAAAGGTGCTGAAGCGAAACAGATGGGGCAGCCAGAGGTCCATTCAAAGTTCCCCTCACCACTCCCACTGCTGTGAAGATTGCTGAGAGGCCATCTTGGATTCATCTATTCCACTGCAAACTTATCAACTAACCGCTCTAATGTCCGACTCAACGAAGTCCGGCTACAAAGGGGTGGGCCACCACTAGAGTGCCACCTCTCAAACCCGGTGAAGATGGAGGTCCGCTTCAAGGTCATTGGTTTCACCACATTGTTGATGTTGGTGGTCGCACTCATGGCCCTGCACTTGGGCCGCCTCTCAGCACCTGATGGAACAACTGAGACAGCAGCATTTGAGGGGATACTAGAACTGGAACTGAAATGACGGATTGGGGTTCCTCCCTGACCGCACATCTTCATGACAATGTAACCTGCATCCACCTCGGCTGAAGACACCCTGGACGCATCTACAACAGGACACAGTGAAGAAGAGATGCTGGAAAAGGATAACTACTTCAAGCACCTGCACCCAAATCTCCAGACTGGTTTCACGGTCAAGACCTGAAGGACTTTTCCGCGACAAGATCAGCACCCTGACAGTTGGACAACCGCCTCGACACGCCACAGAAGGTCCCTGAAGTCTTCCATTGAGAAGTTGAACTGTGCACTTCATGTTCCGAACTACGTTATTACGCTCCGGACCTGGACTTCTAGGGACTCATCAACGTAAGACTGAAACCATCCTGATCAACGGGAGAGACTCTGACTTTCAAACCTATTCTCCAAACCGGGACTCTCAATCCACAGACAAGCCCTTTGATGAAGAACGTCTGGTTTGGATCAGCTCTGCCATAGTTAGGGCTGCATAAATTAATATTACACGTTCATTTTTTCCTCCTTCACAGGAAGGCTTGTCTGCAACTTGAAGCTTTAAGCTAAATTCACCAGGTGTTTCAATACACTGAACGATGTTCTCTGTGTATTATATGGTTTTGTAAACCCTTCCCAATCTCCTTACAGGAACTGCCATAAATTGTAGAATTGTGCATCACAGTAAATTCATTTAAATATGTATGAAATAGCTTTTATTAAGGTTATAATTGTGTCGATTTATCTGGTTCCACTCTCTATCTCTGTGAACGGATGTAAGA